TAGAGAAAACATAAATGGACCAAATATATTAATGAATATAGGAGCTAATGAATGTCATATAGCTTCAATTAGAAACAAAGGATTAATAACTCATAAAACTGAACCATATAAGTATATAAATTTTGATAGACAAGTACATATGACAGATTTAGAAGTTAAGGTACCAATAAAAATAGGAGAAATAGATCTTTTAGTATCATGTTACATAGATAGAAGTAAAGATATAAGCCCTCATATACTTTTAGGAATGAGTTTTCTAAATGGATTAAAAGATTATAGTATAAAAGGAGAAGGATTATATATTGTTCATAATGGACAAACTACATTATGTAAAAAGAATTAGATGAATAATCAGATAAGTTTCCCATTAGCTGTATATATACAAATTACTATTGTAGAAACAAATATAACAACTTGTGCTTTAATAGATACAGGAAGTGATATAACAATATTTAAAATTTTTTTAATAAAATTATGGAATAATAATAGTAATATAAAAATAACTGATGTTACAGGAGAAAATACTCAAATAATTAATAGTGCTGACAAAGTTAATATAATACTTGGAAGTAAGCAAGTAACAATAAATAAAATTTATAAATATGATAAATTAGAATATGATATATTATTAGGAAATGATTTCATACAACAATTTCAATATTATAAACAAAATAATCATATGATAATGTTACAAACACCTTGTGGACATTTATTAAAAATTCCTAGAGAATTTAAACCTTATAGAGTTCAGCCAGCCCAGCGTGGTGATAAATGGGAGAAAAAACCAATTCTTAATAACGAAATAAAAAATAAAAGAATATTATATAAAAATGTTCTAAAAACAGGAATTGAAATGAATATAGAAAAAATCATTGAACAATTAGAAAATGTTTATGGAAAAAATCCATTATTATTTTGGAAACCATATCACCCAAAAGCCAAAATAGAATTAACAGAAAATGTTATAATAAGAGTAAGACCAGTGATGTACACAATAGAAGATACACAAGAATTTAAAAACCATATAAAAGAATTATTAGAACAAAAACTTATTAGGCCTAGTAATGAACCTCATATTAGTCCAGCATTTATGGTTATGAAACACTCTGAACAAGTTAGAGGAAAAGCTAGAATGGTTATAAATTATAAAGAATTAAAAAAATATACTAAATTTGATGGTTACTTTCTATCAAATAAAAAAATACTAATAAATCTTGTAAGAGGAAAATAATATTATTCTAAATTTGATTGTAAATCAGGATTTTGGCAAATAAAAATGGAAGAAGATAGTATACAATATACTACATTTAGCACACCTCAAGGATAATATGAATGATTAGTTATATCATTTGGTTTGAAAAACGTACCACAAATATATCAAAGAAAAATGGATAATATATTTAAAAAGTTTAATGAATTTCTAATAGTTTATATTGATGATATATTAATATGTTCTAATAGTAAAGAAGAGCATAGAAATCATTTAATCCAATTTGTTAATGAATGTAAAAAAAGAAGGAATTGTACTATCTAGGAAGAAATCTATAATAGAAAAACAAGAGATAGACTTTTTTGGATTATCAATAGATAAAAGAGGGATTAAATTACAGACTCATATATCCAAAAAGATAGAAAGTTTTTCAGATAAATTAGAATCTAAGGAACAAATTCAAAAAATATTAGGATGTTTAAACTATGCAGAATGATTTATTGAAAATCTTTTTAAGAAAAGACATAAAATCCAAGTTTTACTTAGAAAAACAAATACTGAGGGATGGAATAAAGAACATACAGAAATAATTAAATCATTAAAAGAAGAATGCAAAAATTTACCAAAATTAAGATTACCAAATGAAAAAAGATAATTTGATTGTTAATACTGATGCCTCAGATAAAATTAGGCAGCAATATTAAAAACAGATCTTAATGAAATTTGTAGATACTCAAGTGGAACCTTTAACCAAGTAGAAATAAATTATATTACTCATGAAAAATAATTACTAGCAATTATTAGAGGAATAAAAAAGTTCTCATTATTTTTATTATCCAAAAAATTTATTGTTGAAATTGATAATTCTCAAGTTGCAAGATTAGTCAAGAATAAGTTACCCTCAGAACCACAATACAGAAGGCTTCGTAGATGGCAAGCTTATTTAGCATTTTACAATTTTGATATAGTTCATATTAAATGAGTTAATAATTTTCTTGCAGATTTTCTCGGCAGAAACATAGAATTTGTTGATGGATAAAGTCAAGGTCATGGAGATATACCAATCTATTACACATATGCAAGAAAGGACAAACTTTCTTAAAGAAGAATCTGAAGATATAAGTTTTGGAACAATTCAGATATCAGAGATGTTCAACTCAAATAGGAAAATATTGTTGAATATCACTACTGAGCATCATAAATATGCCATAGAACTCAAAAATCAAGTTGATGCTATTGCAGCACAACTAGAAAATATATTGTTTAAAAAAGATATACCAAATAGCTCAGAAATGAGTTTTTCAAATCAATATCAAACAGGGACAGTTGGAAGCAGCAGTGGACCCAGACGTGACAACATACCAACTGATAATAAAGGAGATTTCATTTCTGTATCATCAACCAAGAAAGTTATGATACATGGAGATAAAAGAGATATCAAAACAATCAGCGTCATAGACCAAGAAGATAAAATCACTTTAGATCCAAACGAAGAAAAATATGGCGAAATAGTCAAAATTGTTTATGAAATAAAAATAAGTGATTCATATTTCATTTCTCTGGGAAATAATGTTTACCCCAGAATAACAGTCATGGAAGGAGGTGACCTTCATTTATAAAAATCATGACAGACTATGGATTCATGGATTTGATTTATCCAGGAAAAAATTTTATTAAAATTTTAAAGTTTGATGACATAGTCATTAAGGAAATATCCAGATTTGCCAAGGGAATGAAGATATTTTTAAAATTCTATTCAATCAGTCCAGAATATGATGGAGTTGTTTACTAGCAAGTTGAACACATAATCTCAATTGGATATGTTGCAGCCAATTTCCAAATTGATGTTATAGAGAATAATAGAAAAGTCCCAACAGTGACAAAATCATGGATCAGACATAAAAGAGCACTTGGAATTAAAGCCATCTATAATATTGTTAAAAATTTGTTTGATAAAAAATTCTTGTGCCTATGCCAATATTAAAATTGAATGTTAGTATCCAATGGAGGATATGCAAAGTCAGAAATTTTAAAAGATTATATTACAAGATTTGATATAAATCAATTTCCAAAATGTCCTACCACTATAAAAGAATCCTGCTAGCTAAGGGAGTGCTCCAATTGCATGTGAAGAAATATAAGAAGAAGACAAAGCACCTTTTGACAAAAGTGTATAAAGGACAATAATACTACATGTGAAGACATTGAAGATAAAGAGCAATAATAGAAAAAGATGCTTTTTAGATAGAAAAGTTGAACCAACATGTTAAAATGTAGGCCCAAAGGAGAAAATAGAGAGGCAAGAGTGCCTTTGCTGATGTAATCAATGATGTAATAAAGTCTCATAAACTTGTATAAATAGAGACATTGCCATAGAAGAAAATCATCTCATCTTATCTTGAATTCTCGAGTTGTAAGTAATAGCCCATTCTCAATATAAAAAACAAGTTTTTCTAGAAATCCCTTCATACCAAAGAAATCTTATATCAATCCTGATAGAAATAAAATTTCAATATTTTGATATCAATATGAATTTCTAAATTCTTTTCCTATAGATTCTTGAAAGATCTAATAGAAAGTTTCCTTCTTATTTTAGCAAAAAGAGAGTTATCTTTAACAGAAATCTAGAATTTTATTCTTTAGAAGTTGATACAGTGAGAGTAAGTAGCTGCAATAGTAACAATTTCATGAAGACAGGAGGTCGTTGAAGGAAGCAATTTATAAATTCAGAGTTTGAAGGTCACTCGATTCTAAGAATACAAGTCTAGATCAAACTTAATGTAAAACTATTAAACTTTTGCTAAAATTAGAATGAATCTTTTTAAGATCTTAAGAGAATCGCATGGACAATTGCATGATGATTATTTTGATAAATTTCAGAATATACAACTGAAGGATTAGATAATTTATTAGAAAGAATGTTAGAAGAAATAAAAAAATATTATATCTCAATTAAAAAATACAAATTTACCATTTGAAGACTATATCACTTTAATTAGAAAATATGAAATGAATGTTACAGATTATCCTTATTTATTAGATCATAGAATGATTTTATATTCAAATATCCAAAATAGAGTAAAAACAAAAGATAAAATATTTAAAAGATTAGGATATATATTGCAATATAAATATAATCATTTCATTAAGGGTAATATAGACATTTCCATAAAAAGGAATAGTGACAGGTCAAATACAAAAATCTCCTTAAATAGAAACCCAAAAGAGCCTATTTCATCAAATACATGATGCATTCTGTTAAACAAAATTAAGAAATTGGCATTTTAGCATACCCTTTTATTTTTAATAAATTAAAATGAAAAGTAATCAAAAAATTTTCCCCCCTCCCTAATGTCATTCTTAATATATCCATTCGAATATGATAGGTAGATTTACGTTCAAAAGTGTACATATAGCATGCTTTGTTAAATTTTAAAGTAACCTTTTCTAATAATTACTCTCAGCGCTAAACATGCTCGGCCGAGCCATGCTACTTGTAGATGAAACCTGAAACTCAATTTTCAATCACCTTCAAAACCCTCCCAAAAAATAAATAGAAAAATGTAAAAAGTCAACCTAAATTCAAAGAAATTGGAAGTTTAACGTACATTTTAAAATTTTAAAGCCACAAAATGTGCCGATCTTTGGTCATCCAAAACCTAATCCACCACCCCAATAATGGTCAACGCTTCATGCATTAGTATATTTGCATACAACTATTATAATATTCACACACACATGGAAACTCACCTCACAGAATTAATATGCTTTGGGAGTGATCCAAGTGGGTTTTTTGCTCAATATCCGTTGGTTTCCTTCGCGAGATTTCTGCCATGTTTAAGCCTTCAAAAATATAAATTTTCGTTGTTTAAAAAGTAAAAATCTTAGCATATGCGATATTCCAGCTCTTTAAGCGAAGTTTTCTTGCAGCTCTTTGGGTTCGGTATGATCCACTCTCACTTATTTTCCTAAACTTACATTTTCGTGCATTTTCGTACATTTCATTTCCAGCCTAATTACACGCTCATCCGAATTCTTGAACTAAAGAGTCAAGACCGGTTCGAATCTCTTAGCTTCTTGATTCAATGATTTCGACTTTACTTACGTAGTTCCTAGCAAGAGAAGAAAAAGATTCAACATCAAGTTAATTTTTTACCTTTATTTTGGTATAGAAATCTTTGTTAGTATCCAAGGTAATGAATATGGGGAAATCATGCTTCCCCAGGTGTAGACTGGGGAGAATGATGGGTTGGATTCAGATTATATTGGGAATGCTTGTTATAATTGTGAGTATATCAAGTTTATCTAGATTCTATTCTGCTGGTTTTTTCTTGCACAATGAGGATATGTGCCGCCATTTTTACGGTTTCAAGGATTTTTACGAGGGAATTGATGTTAAAGCGTTAACAGCTCGGGTTGAGGAAGTGCTTAACAAGATGGAGAGACTGCAGGACAAGCTCGAATTGACTGTGCAACAGATGGAGAAGAACAAAGAAAACTTACACAAAAGCAGCATTTCAAGCTTCGAGTATAAGAAGTTTTTGGAGGCCGAGGTAATTAGGCCGCTCTATAGTGCCCATATCGCTCTTAGGCAAATTCGTTTGCCAAGAATTGAAAATGGAACGCTTGTTGAAGATCCCTTGATTAATAATTTCGTGATTGAGGAGATTCGGAAGTATATATCGCCTAAAGAGAACAGAGTTGGGAAGATCAATATATATGGAACGGGGAAGATATACAACACGATAGGGCACGCGTGTGTGTCAATGAAGAAGGAATTGGAAGAGTATATGGAGTATGACATTGGTTCTTATTGTAAAGATGATTGGAATTTAGCACAAAAGCTTATGATTCATGGGTGTGATCCATTGCCCCGAAGGAGATGCTTAACACGAGCTTCTAAGCTATACTTGAAGCCTTATTCGATTAACGGGTCACTTTGGAGAATTCCTGATGGTAGAAATGTTAGATGGAGCAACTATCAATGCCGGAATTTTGAGTGCCTAGCTAGCAAGAACCCGAGGCGCGGCTATTCCAAATGCACCGGGTGTTTTGAAATGGAAAAGGAGAGGCTTAAATGGGTTACCAACACCTCACTTCCCATAGATTTTATGATAAAAGATGTTTTGGCTATTAAACCAGGGGAGATGAGAATCGGACTCGACTTTGGTGTTGGTACAGGAACATTTGCTGCTCGAATGAGAGAGCTTGATGTCACAATTGTATCGACTGCGCTCAATCTCAGGGCACCTTTCAATGAAATGATTGCACTTAGAGGTCTAATTCCTTTGTACGTGACACTGAATCAACGGCTGCCATTTTTCGACAACACGTTGGACTTGATCCACACCGCCGGATTCATGGATGGCTGGATTGATTTACAACTCTTGGATTTTATTCTTTTCGACTGGGATCGAATCTTAAGGCCTGGAGGATTACTTTGGATCGATCGGTTCTTTTGTCTAAGGAAAGACTTGGATGACTTCATGTACATGTTCTTGCAATTCAGATACAGAAAACACAAATGGTCCATTGCTCCAAAATCTAACGATCAAGTTTATCTATCTGCTTTGCTAGAGAAACCACCGAGATCTTTGTGATGATACCGGTTCATCAAATCTCAACCATTTATCACGAATCATCGAAAACCCGTTCTCTATCTGTTTCTTTGATTTCTATGTAATGTATGGTATCAGAGAGACAGTATGTCTATGTTGAAAGAATAATAGATGATTTTTGTTTGGTAGTCACTGAAGTAATGAATAAAATACATGTTGATATGTATTCTTTCCTAATGGACGATATTAACGAAGAAAAATAAATTAAAAATTTGTTCTTTTTATTGTCTCATTCAGTACTACTTAACAAGCATGCAATTAGGACGATATTAACGAAGAAAAATAAATTAAAAATTTGTTCTTTGTATTGTCTCATTCAGTACTACTTAACAAGCATGCAATTAGTGCTAACAATATGAAAATTCAGTAATTTTGAACCCAAAAACTACACGATGTTTTCTTAACACGAGAATACATATAATTGTTTTTGTTTCTATGGAATACCATCTCCGTTAGGCAAGAACTAATGGTCCGTTTGATTGTAAAAATGGAATTGAATTGAATTGAAAACGAATTCTAATGAATTGAATTGCCTAGAAATTATTTTCCTAGAAAGTGTAAATTATTGTGTTTGAGTGGTATAATTTTTCAGTGAAAAATGTTGAAATTTTGAATTTTTTGGTATTCGTTTGATCTTGTTTTTCATGAAAATTGTCAATTAAATGGATAATTTTTTTACAATTGTTGACAGATTTTGTTTCCATTGCTTAAAAAAAAAAGTGAAAAGCGGAGGAAAAGGCACATGTGTGGAGGAAAATGTGGAAATCAAATTCCCTAGAAAATTTAGCAATCAAACACCACATTTTGGTGGAAAATGGAAAATGTTTTCCACTTTTCATGGAAAATATATCCAATCAAACATAGCCTAAGAGGAAAAACAATATTCTACCAACTCTATTCTTTTCTTTTAGATCACATATGTGACGAATTGTTATTTGAGAGAACAGAAATAAGACAACTACTGCAGTCGGATATGAATATAATTATCCATTCTTTTATGGATCCATTAAATAGTCGAAGATAGGGTAAGGAAGACCAATCCCATCTTGTTGAGGATTGGATCGAAATTCTCATTGATCGTGAAGTGTGACATGGTATTAATAGAGCTTGTACAACATGGGAGATAATTCGTTCCATAGAACTTTTTAACCTCTTCCTTTGGTCGATTTATATTCCGAACCACGGTTGTGGCCACCAGAACACGAGAAGTTGACTGGCTATTGTGGAAAGGTGTGATTTTTTATTTTTCAAAATAACACACCGCTCGGGTTAATTGGACTGAAATTACATTTTTTTGGGGAAAAATATTAATAACATACTTTGAAATCACATTTTCATAAATATCAAAGTTTGACAAAATTTTCCAAATTCAAGATTTTTTTAATATGAAATAGATAATAATTGACTTATAAAATAAGACCGTGACTTTAATTGATGGTTATAAACGGATAATTGATTTTTCTCCCTCATCATATCACTTCTTAAAAGTAGCCATGTAGTTATTGTGTCCACCATTTTAACGCCTCTAAAAATAAGAAACGAATAAATCGTGTCTCCATTGATTCATAAAATCATCCACATGTTCTAGGATACAACCAACATTCTATAAGTTGCAGCCCATGCCTGCCAGCTCCCATAAATTCGCCACTGTATGTTGCAATAGGAAATTGTTTGCCTTCCATCAATAATCAACAATTTGCATGTCATTGACAAAAGGAGGGCGGTTAAAATTGTTGGAAAAAAAAAGAAAAAAAAAAAGAAACTAAGTTATGGACCGACTTTGGCACGAGTTTTGAGTGGGACCCGGTTGTTCAATTTGGAAGATGAAAGTTGATTTGTGTTCTCCTCCGTGAGTACATCGAAATCATATACTTACTTGCCAAAGATGATGCTCGGGTAAATAAGAAATTGAGGCTCAAAATGTGCCACTCAAAAGGGAGTTTACGTGGGAAAAATGAATTTGTCCCACATAGGAAAAAAATGAGCAACTTCAAAGGTCATTGTCATTAATGGTAGCCTAGCCTATAAATAGTGGCTCATTTTCGTCATTTCAATACATCAAAGCAAAAGCTTTCAAGTTTAGAATACACAAGAAATTCATTTGCATAGAGTTCTGTCTTTTCTGCATTTCTGTCTTGGTGGTGGTGTAGTTCAGGCACTAGTTCAGTTCGTCGGAGTGGTTTCTACGATGTTCGGAAGCTACTGGTTTTACCGTTGTATCTTGGGAAACGGACGCTCGTTTTAAACCTCAAACACGGACGGTGAGGGGACGAATCTGTTTTAAGAAAACTGTGTGTAACACAGGCTTCGGTTTGAAATTTCATTTCCTGTAATTTCAATTATTCGTTCTTGTTATTTATTGCAGTAAATTCAATAGTTGATTTGTTGTTCATTCTGTTATTATCCAATTAGTTGTACGACTGTAACTTACTGTTATATATCATCTTATCGGACAAAAAGCATATACGGTATTGAAATCGAGAATACCAGATTCCTCATATTTCATAAACCGATCGAACTGGTGAAACTTGAGATTTTCCCTACAAGAATTTTGCTTCCAGAGTCCTTGCAAAATCCGTAGTTATTCGTGACTATATTAATGTGACCACTAAGGGATCTTGAACATCGGCACTTACCGCACGTGCTCATAGGGCAAGATGCGAATCCGGATATTGTGGCTTAAATAGTGAAATACAACAATTGTGATATCTGTAATTTTCGTATTATAATAACAGTGACATAAAAATTGAAATTCAACAATTATGACCTCTGTGTCACGTATGTGACCTCAGTAATGTTATCTTTCCCTTAAAATGTGTGCCCTATGTTGTGTGATGTGTGACTCATATATGTGAGTTTTTTTAAAGAGGGTGTTTGTGGTTTTCTTTGTCTTACTTGATGATGGTAAAGAATGTAAGTAATATTTGTTTCTATTTTCAAATAAAATTAAAATGGTAAGCTATAATTTGAATTTCAAAAATAAAAATTAGACATATACACCACCAATTAACAGGATCAGTAGAAAATAAAAATAAATACTAAAAATCTATAAAAAAAAAAAAAAAATCTGATTTCTGAATAAAATAATTATTTCCCTGTTTTTATATAATGGAACTCAAAAGCATGGTTTCCTTTAGTATCATTTAGTTTCTGTTTTGATACGATGTTAATTTTTCAATGAGTTCATGTTTGGTCTAATGTACATTTTACAAGGATGATATTTGATTAATTTTTCAAGACATATTTGTAGGATCTTTTTCTGGGCTCTTGTTAAATTATTACAAGCCGAATAAAATAATTTTGTTTGAATATATTTTCCAACTACAAAATTTAGAAGTATAAAATATAAATTCTTTTGTTGTATCATACAACGTGTAAAGTATGTTTACAGAACTAGTCGTAGAAGGTTATGCATTTTAAGTAATCAGAAGACTCCTTAATTTGCAATGCTTATGTATTTTAATATAGAAAAATGTCATTTTGCGCGAAAATGTTTGACATCCGGGGTGATCGACCCTCACAACATGCACAGATCCCACATGAATTAAATAATGTCCGACTCTCGAAGTGTGTGTGTTCGGTCATCCCCTATGTCAACCATTATGTTTCATTAGCTCGATCCTTTAATATAAAGGGCTTCTAATTCAAGAGTTATCTGCTTTATTCCAATAGTTGCATCACTTTAATCTTTACACATTTTTCGTTAAGCAACTTCTAAATTTGACTTGGAAAATTGCAAAGGAACATGACTTTTGGATGAATGACCACATTCAAAAACTAAATATAAAGCGTTTCAATTTGCTATTTTGACCTCAATTTTTCCAAAATACTTGTCAAAACTCTGCAAAAATTTCCTTCCTGAAGTTCTGTCTTCTTGTTTCAGGAAAACATGGATTTGCAAAATAAAATTTAGGTTAGTCGGGTTCCTTTGTGATGACTGTGCTAGCACGAAATCTATTTCTATTCTCGAAGCAATTGCTCGAAGACCTTCGATACTCAAAGAACAAAATTGTCCTATGAAGATTTGTGAAATTGTTAGGTTGAACTTTCAATTCTTCTCAAACAATTTTGAAAGTTCAAATTTGTTTTATTTCCTAATGCTTTTACATGACAACAGTAACATTAGTACTCAAAGCATGCCAACAATGGTCCAAATTGATTAAATGAGGAATGTCCCATAATGAGTTTGTTGGGCAAATTGTTATCAAATGACCTCCAAGGCGATTATGTGAACTCGATTTTGTTTAAATTCAGTCGGCATTGACCATATGATTGAATGATATGTCAAAACCACTATTGAGTCAACCCAATCCTAATTTTCTACGGACCATTAGAAGCAACCTAATTTAGTAGTATTGCTCGTGACCCGTCCCATTTACTTGGAAGGTTACGATACCCATTTGGAGTCCATTACTCTTGTGTTGGGCCTTTTGGGCCACCACTCTTAGCTTAACCTAACTTACCTTATTTGGTCTTTCACTTGAGCTATATTTTTATCTCCTTTAGTACCTCCAAGAGAGAAGGTTCCCTGCCTTTCTTTGTGATCCTGTTCTCTGCTCATTCTCGGTTTTCTTACTTGTGCAACCTTTGTGGTTTATCTTGTGTGATATTGATCCTTTCTTGGCTATCTCTTTGTGTGTATTCAAAAGCAACCGTGAGTTGGAGCAATACAAATAGGGCATTTGGTGTGTCTTGATTGTGTGGTGTTGATTCGGTTGAAATTGAGCCTGATATTACCTTGGTATACATTTTCTTCATTACATCTAGTATCAGAGCGTAGGTGGTGGAAATTGAGCAAAACCCTGTCAAATTCGAGAGAGAGGTGTTTTCTTCCAAACTGATCGAACCTAAAACTTCAATTACTCTCAAACCAGACCTCCGTTGGACAAATGGAGGCAAGACCCACACTCAGCAGACCGAGGCAGCACGTGGCAAAGGCAGCGACCGGCAATGGCGGACCGAGACGGCGCGTGGGGCAGTTTTCCAGCGAGATTTTTCTGCTATTCTACTTATTTTAACCTCCTGAACGTACTGATGTGTTTGGTTTAGTGTTTCAGGTTACGCAGGAAATTTTGGATGATTTTGCCCTTGAACATCAATCTACTTTTGTGGCTGATTGGAATCAGTACATT